CATTTTGGCCTCAACTTGAGAGCTTTTTTTGAGCTTGGGAGTTGATTTCAGAGAAAACCAGTGGCACTATCGTGTTTCTCGCGAACTTTTATATAAGAATCAATGGTCAAATCGCAAATCCCTCACACATGCAACATCTCCATTCACGATGCCAGTTGCTAAAATTCGGGAAAACGGCCGAAACATAGGTCCTCTGTTCCAAGAATGCGGCCGGCAGGACTCATAATCTTGACTCCATTAGCTTTAAAGCTTTTCAAATTTTTCTTAAACAAATTTTTAACGTGTTTTTGGAACTTGCCGACCGAATCGGGAATGACATTTCCGCATTCATTGGAGGAGAGCGGCGGCTCCTCGTCTAACGTTAAACCATTTTAGCCCTATTCAAGATGGGTTGACTTGTAAACCTAATAAGAACTATCAGCTGCAAATTTTAGTCAACATTTTGCGTGGAAAATTCTCGTAATGTCGCCCTTTCCCTCATGTTGCGTTGTGTTAGAGGCCGTAACAACACAATTTCCACCATAATTGCGATCATTATTAACTCGACTTTCACAGGCATTCCAGCCGTCAAGATTTTCTTACGGGCAGCAACATGCATCATCTCATCTCCTCTGTCCCTTTTTTGACCGTTGAGCTAAATATGAGGGGCTTGGAGGACAAGGCGCTTAAGTGCAGTTTTTGAAAAATTAAGATATCAATGATTTCAAATCAAACTAAATTTAATGCATATTCTGTGAAAAATTCGCTCCCAAATTCCAATTTTTAAGCATCATAAAGTCAGTTTGAACTTTCTTTCCGCTATGAGGAACCGTGTAATTTTAAAACTTCAAACACGTATTTCTCAAAATAGCAAAAACTGCACTTATGCGCTTTGTACTCCAAACCCCTCATATGTTGTAGTGAATCTAACTCCCCAAAGCACGGTTTGTTTACCAAACAAATCGCTCAGCTATTTTAGGGTGGATATTCAGCTTTTGGTCTATGCATTCTGGGTATAATTGATGTACTCAAATTTTAACCATTTGGTAGATTATTCAAGGAAAATTAAACTTTCAGTCCGTTTATATCAATCATTTTAAATTTTTCGCGCCGAAAATTATCTGCAAAAATCTTCTAACGAATTCAAGAGTATTGTTTCCATTTTGCAACCGATTTCAACGTATCGATATCGATGAATAATTGGAAACAGTACTTTAAACTTCGTGTACAGACTTAGGAAGATGATTTTTGGCACTAACGCTCTTAATGATTGACTGAAATTTCGATTTACCCCAAACAATCCATCTAAAAGTTAAAATTTGAAATATGCCGATCGTACTCAGAAGCATCGCTCAAAAGCTAAAGCTCCACCTTAAAGGTTTGGTGGGGGAGTCTCGAAAGGCTGTCGAAGACATTTAATCCCTGTTACGACCTCAACATTCAGAGCTTTTGTCGAGTTTCAGGGTGAGTATCGGACACTATCTCGCGACACTATTGTAGCCCCTCGAGATTTAATGTAAGCCTGGATGAAAAGCGTATCGTTATACCCAGGCCCGTCCAGAAAGTCTATTTTTTGCGGTACCCACACTGAGTGTACCTGGCAGGATGTGAAAAAATTGAATCGGTAGGTACCAAAATCTATTACGCCTATTTTACGCCGAGCCCTGGCACGCAAGCATTTTTACGGACTGAAGGGGTCACGAAAAAACTCTCTTGATAGGTTTTAACGCAGAGCCGTTCAAAAATTAGCGACGCGTCCTCTGGTTCAGCACGAACGTTACGTAACGTAAACCGATTGCCGGTATACATGTGAGTCACGATTTCGACTCCTATGAACTAGCGTTTCTGCCTGAAAGATCCTACGGTGCTTACGCGTTTCTTTAATCTAACCGTTCGGTTAATGGTAATCGTCGGGCAAGGATGCGACCGTTCGCAACCCCTCCCCCCCCC